TTTAGGGTTTTTTTTTTTTATTAATAGAAAGACTTTTTAATAGATTTTTTAACATGATAAATGTCTTTACTGTCAGTTTTTATCAATTTAATGCCTCAATGCTGAATAATTTCTCAAGACAAACCAGTCAATTCACAGATAAAACTTGATTACAGGTAGTCTTGTCCCAAAATCAGGTCATTGGTTGAGCCACAAATTAACTCAGCATAAGAATGGCTAATGTGTAGTTATAGTTTCTGCACATTAAGCTGTATTAATTGTGTTGTGTTATTTTGTGTATAATTGTGTTAATTTGTCTCTTCCTGTGCAGGTTGAGGCTTTGCTCTCACAGATGGACGCTGCCAATCAGAAGTACAGCACAGCTGTGTGTGAGGCCGACGTTTTGCGGCAGTGTTTAGGAGACGCACGGAGTGACAGCTCTCGACTTCACAGGGAAAGCGAGCTCGTCGTGACCAATGTGAACCAGTGGGTGAAGGAGCAAAAGTAAGACTCGTTGTCTTCTGCATTCAACAGCATACAACATTCAATGCTTTTGGACATGTAATCATGTAATCATGGTATTACATTGCCATGGTACTTTTTTGTAAGTGTAAAAAGAGCTGTTGGAATGCTTGATTCTGATTGGTCGATCACTGCATTCTAGAGACAAATATTTTTGCATAATTAAAACTAAATTGTGTAATTGATCATCCAAGGCAGCGTCATTATTGTTAACTAAAACGAAAACTATTAAAAGTCATTTTTGTTCATTGAAATAAAGCTGAAATTAAATCTAAATACTAGATGAAAAGTACAGATTACATTTAAAAAAAAAATGAAGATATGAAAATTCGAAATGTTGCCTTGGCCACTGGAAAGAAATATGTTTATGTTGAAGGTATACAATTACTAAAATTGAAAATATATATAAATCTTAATAGAAATATTCACAGAATCACGTAAAATTACTAAAACTTCACTAAAATTAAAATGAAAACTAAAAATATGTAATATAAAATCAACGTGAATTGGAAATATTTATAAATGCTATAATAGTATATAAATAATACTAAAATAACACTGGTCCCAGGCAGCTAATTAATTTACTTTGAAACGATTTTCACTCCAATATTGCTAGTAAATTTAACAAATAATTACAAAGAAATGGCAAGTAACACATTGAATTAAACCTGAAATTTTGAAGTAGAAAGAATAAAGGAGTATTTTTTGTAAAAACAAACTCCAAAAATCTTTATTTACAAGTTCAGAAAATAATTTCTATAGTGTAGCTGTGCTAGTTTAATGTGTTTTGTATCACTCCATCTCACATAACAATATAATTTCAACTCAGTTCAATACTTCGTCTATTTATGTGTTTGTTGTTTTAAATTATATTTTGTATATATTTTAATAAAACAAGAGAATGCTATTTCAGTCTTTCTACTACCAAATTTCACATTTAATTTAATGTGTTTAATTCAGTTCTTTGTTATTAATTATGAAATTTACTAACAATTTCTGAGTCAAAACTCTTTCTACACTTTTTTTTTTCTCAGTATACCTACCTAATCACCCTTTTGGTGTTTATTTTGCAATAATGACCATCTGTCAGGTGTTTTCTCTTACATAACATCAAATATGACTTTTTACTGCATTGCATGTCGCAGATTGTATCGAATGTTGCAGTGCATGGTTCCTGTTGGAAACAGTATATAGATTTACAAAGTCTAAAAAGTGTCTGTGGTGCATCAGAACTTTTGCATCCACAGAGAGGCAGTGTTATAATGGCTGTATCATTATCATTCAGCATCATGGTTCATTGTGACAGCAGCTCGCAGCTTCCTCACTGCAGCCCATTATCTCTGCCCCTGCTCCACTCCAGGCACACTAATGAGAAACTGGCACTCAAGATCAAAGACCAGAGCAGGAAGATCATCCACCTGACAGCTGAGAGAGAGTAAGCCCCGCTCACCCTGTCCAAAGCTGTTTCCGCTCCTCTCAGCTGGAGTGTGTACAAACATGGATTTTAGGTCCAAGTAGCAGGGAATGTGCATGCAAAGATACGGTGAGAGGGTACACTTATGTGAAATGGGATTAGGCTGTAATGTTTGTCCTGTCTTCATGCAGTCACCTTCAGGAGAATGTGAAGGGTTTACAGGGGGAAATCAGGAGGCTGAAAGCAGCTGGCTAACGAGAGAATGGAAGCAGAGCGACTGAAGGTAACACACACTCCAACGCAAAGCCTCTAACACACTCCATTCATCAAAGAATCCTGAAAAACATGTATCATGTTTTCCACACAAAAAATATATTTAGCAGCACAACTGTTTTCAACACTGATAATAGTCAGAAATGTTTCTTGAGCAGCAAATCATCATAGTAGAGTGATTTCTGAAGGATCATGTGACACTGAAGACTGGAGTAATGATGATGAAAATTCAGCTTTGCATCACAGGAAGAAATTACATTTTCAGAATATTACTATTTTTACTTTATTTTTGATCAAATAAATGCAGCCTTGATGAGCACAAGAGACATTCTAAAGCATTCAAAAATATTACCCCTAATATATATTAGGGATGGGCATTCCAAGCAAAAATAATATTTGAAAATCGCTGGGTATTATTTGATTATTATTCGAAAATCGCACCCCTCCCCCGCAAGCACGCACAAACACCCATAAACAGAGAGAGATGGAGAGAGACGGGATTCACGCTTTCAATATGTATGATAAACTGTTTAATTCAGAAGATAGGCTACCTTAACTCAAGCCATATAATGATCGTAACGTGCTGAAACATATTAATATAATAAACATAACCGAATGACGGCACTTATTAACATAACAGTCTGTCGATTAGCATAAATCAACTGCTCGTAAGGCTAGGACATTTCCATTTCGTCACAATTATATCGTTTGGTATACTGTATATATACCACTGTATATAAACTGCGGGCATCAGGGAGCTGTTATTAATATGCTGGGCATTGAAATCGCTTATGAATGCGCGCTTGATTTTTACTTTCACTTGCAAAATTCGCGATCACATACGGAGTTGCACTCGGCAGTACTTACCACACATTTTACAAGATTAGATGTTTGTCAGTGGTGCTCAGGATCTGCAAATCATTCGCAATCATCCTATCAGTCACCTCTCCTTACTCTGTTTATGTGGTAAGTGAAATGTTATGTACTGTAATGTAACAGGCTACGGCTAGTAAGCGGCTAACCATGTCCCTTTAGTGGGTTTGTAGAACGCGTTATTTGTTTTCCGCGCCTTTCACGGATTCAGCCACACCTCTAACCCAGTCGAGGGTGTTTGTGTTCCGCACAGCACTCTTATTTGACATCGTCCCAAGTTACTGTAACCATTATATGCTACGCAAGTCTTTTTTTTTATGCCACACAAGTCTACAGTGTGCGCGTGAGTGTGTTCTTCTGTTGTCTTTGACAGCTTTTAGGTGCGTTATGGACCCTTTTCACAAGACTGATGACGCGTTTAACGGTCATCAGCATCGTAAATCCTCGAAAGTTTTTCATATTTGTATTTTTTTTTAAATGTATGTACATTTATAACACTATTCTATGTATTATATCACCTTTGCATCAAATTATTAAAAAAAACAGTTAACTCTAATACGAGGGTGTTTCTAATGCAGCGCCTATGGGAGGGATGGTAAATTTGATAACGTTCCCTCTTCTGACTGCCGTTATCAGTCTCTCTCAATTTTTTTCCTTTTATTGAAAGTCATGAAAACACTATAGTGGAGGTTTTTTTTGAGCAAATGGGAATGCAAAAAATATATTTGTGGTACTCTCCCATTCACTGCTCTTCAAGTTAACCCAACTATGATGACTTCCGCTGCTGAGAAACCCGGAAATGTGAAAAATGTCCATTGGCAGCGGTGTTGCCAAGTCTACTTTAACACTGTTGCCGCGGGTTGTTTTTCATGTCCGCAGGTTGAAGCGACTCCAATAACATATATATTTATCCTCTGGAATGCGAATTTTAGCGGGGGAACCCCACCAAAAAACGTGTGGGGACCCCCTCGAAACACCATTGGGCTAGTTTTGGGCTAGTTTTGAGGCGCGATTGGGCGGGTTTTCTTGTGAAAACCTGGCAACCCTGATTGGCAGTGCCACATGAACGCGTCACCACCGCATCAGCACGGAAAACATGGGGAAATGTTTTAAGACAATAATCGCACAACCTTTTCGATATTCTATAATTAAATCAACTAATCAAATATTCGAAAATCGTGACCCATCCCTAATATATATTAAATAATATATTTCCGTCGAGGACAGCAAGCCAAGTTCATTTACAATTAGCCATCAGGACTGGATGGGCAGGCGAATTCATGAAATATATTTTAGATTGTTCGATCCTATTACTGGTCACCATTTTAGTCACATTTTTGCATTTTTACATATTCCTGCTGTGTCTGATGAGTATGAAAGTACAAATAATCCATGTAGCTTTCCAATGAGCTGCATGCATAATAATTATACTTTTAGTAGCAAATCTAAATTACAAAATGCTGTTTCAAATCCTTGCAGTTTAAGTATATGATAGATTGAGTACAGCTACCCTGTAGAATTTGTATTTCCCTGCATTTTTGTATTCTTTGTAATATATTTTGATAATATTCTTATCTTATTTGTAATAATCACCTGTATTTCATGATAACCGCAGCACTCGCCTCACAAGTTAGTCATCACTGAGTGAATATTAACATTCACCTCTTTGGCAAACAGGCCGTAGCCTCAGTCTTCCATGTAAACAGGTCTTAAATGCAGGTTTTGTCCAGTTTGATCTTTCTTCTTCTCTTCTTATAATTCCTGAATGACCCAATGCTGGCCATTTCCTATTACACCTCTCCCTGTCTTATTATTTTTTCTCTCTTCCTCTATTCTCTGTTATCCCATACCCATGCATAACATCAGTGAGACCGTCTTTGTTGTGATTAGGTTGGTATTTCTATCAGATGCTGAGAAAAGGTGTCCTATAACCGTGTCACCATTAGCCACCTCATTCTGGAGCATCTGTCCTCTCGCCGCACAATGATCCCGCTCTGTAGGTACAGGCTTATCCTCTGTAATGGGGTATGATCTGATTCACACTTGTGAAATTGGAAAGGAGAAGTTTAGAGATGATTGGAGAACTTTTGGCATAGTAGAGGCCAAGGGCTGGAGCTGCCGGTCTGAACCCAATCTGAACCGTACTGATGAGTCCTGCAGGGTTGAATCCATTCTCTTCCCTGTTTGTTCTGAAGGTCCAGGACCTGCTCCACATGCCACCTTATTCCATTATTGATGATGGAGAAGGAGCAAGAGAGTCAGAGACCTGCTCAGGGTCTGACTTTACACAGTTACGCTACTTCAGAAAGTTTATTCAAAGAAAAGTCGAAAAGCCAATGAAGCATTTGGTATCGTTATCCCAGAAAGTGTCTTGACTAATAATAATGCATAGTGCATTTTTAAGAAACAGTTCACCCAAAATTGACAATTCTGTCATCATTTACTAACCCTCATGTTGTTCCAAGCCTCTATGAATGTATTTATTTCTTGGAACACAACAGGTGAATTTGTATTATTCACTGCTATTTTTCTCTGCTGTAACTCTCACACCAGGTGTTGCCATTAAAATGTTCTTCGTCAGGTTTGATGTCAGTGACATTTGGTCATGAGAGACTTGAGAACCTGCTGCAATATATGCAATAGTTTGAAATGGCACCAACACACCATTTTTGTAGTATGTAGAACTTTTGTAGTCCTTTGGTGGACATGAGCATGATGATGGTCAAAGAATAATGACTTCATTTAGTCTGTTATCATATGGCTACTGAAGGCTTGGAATATATTGCTATTTAAATACTATACTGCTAATATTAATATTTGAAAAAAAAAAGTTTGTCACCTATTCAAAGACATGTGGTCCAACCGACATGCAGAAAAAAAAAATTATAGAGAGGGCACCTGCAGACCCTCATGATGTCAAGGCTAACAAGTATCTTAAAATGTCAGATAATTTGAGCATTTTTTTTTTAATTTATGAAATAATAATGTGTCAACTTTTTTATGAAAACAATAGCTGGGTTTCCATCACCCTGCTTTTATGCGCATTTTGAAGTATCGCATCAGAATCGAGAGATGGAAACGCTGAATTTCAAATAAAAATGCCTTAATTCGCAAAAAAGTTTTTACGCTCGCTTGAGGTGGTTTTTGACTTGTGCGAAAAAGGGTTCATGCGAATAATGGGAGATGGAAATGCATTTTGCGAATAAATTCCTCCAAGTGCATCAAAAAAGTCATGTGACTTTGCGCTATGGTACTGCATAACCTGAATAACCAGCGGACCGATCTCATTCACAGCATCTGAAATGTTGTTTTGGTCATTCGGAAATGCTCAGGCAAAGTCTGTCATCAAAGTATTTCTGTATAATTGCCTCCCAGAACTGTTAAAGACTGCGTTCCCAAACAGCAGCATCCACCTCCGAAAGCAAT